TTCAAGCCCTAGTACCAACACACATACACACACACACACACACACACACACACACACCCCACACCAAAAGTTGATCAGTGGAGCTGGTTCCAGTTTGATGGAGGTTGAGTCAGTGGCACCCATCTTATTAATGGATGGCCCAGGCTGGAATTGTGGCATTGAGTTTGGGTTTATTGCTAGGTGAGCAGGAGAACTCTGAGTGGGACACATGGGGATGCTGGGCTCTGATGTTTCCTATCAAACATCTAATAGTGTTCTTCCAAATCTGAGACATGGAGACTGGATCGGGTCATCTCTAGCTCCAACATATCAATTACCTTAGTCTGTCGATCATTGGGGCATCAAAAGGGGGAAGTGTTAGGGGAGCTGTTGTTGAGGTTGATTTCACAGAGCAACGGCCCACGTCCCTATCTCCTGGGTCCCTGGTCCCTGGATTGTGTTAGCCTTTCAACACCTCTTATCTGCCCCAGCAGGCAGGGGCTCAGCTTTGCAGGTCAGTCTCTGAGGCAGCAACTTGGACCTAGAAGGTTGTCTCCTCCTCCTCCTCTTCTTCCTCCTCTTTCTCCCCCCCCCCCCCTCCCGCCACCTCCTCCTTCTTTTTTTGGCAGTCTGGGCTTGAACTCAGGGCCTGGGTACTATCCCTGAGTGTCTTTTACTCAAGGCTAGCACTCTACCCTTTGAGCCACAGCACCACTTCCAGCTTTTTTTTCTGTGTATGTGGTGCCGAGGAATCGAACCCGGGGCTTCATGCATGCAAGGCAAGCACTTTACCTTTAGGCCACATTTCCAGCCATCCTTCTTATTTTTTAATTATGCCAATACGGGAGCGGCTTGGCTGCTGTCCTTTAACTTTTATGCTGAAAGCTAGTGCTCTACTACTTGAGACACAGCTCCACCCCTGGCTTTTTGCTGGTTAATTCTAGATTAGAGTTGCACAGATATTCCTGCCCAGGATGGCTTTGAACTGGGATCCTCAGATCTTAGTCTCCTAAATAGGTAGGGTTACAGGTGTGAGCCACCAGCTCCCAGCTCCTTCAATCTTTAAACGTTAACTTTTTAAAATTGTTATTAGAAAGATGATGTGCAGAGGGGCTACCGTTGCATAGGTCAGATATGAACACATACATTTTTTGGACAATGTCACCCCATTCCCCTCTCCAAGTTTTTCTCTCTCATCCCTGCCCACAAGCTGTATAGCTCATTTTCAACATAGTGTCTAGTGAGTACCACTGCTGCATTTGTCCACCCTTCATTCCTCCATTTCTGTGCCCCCTTCGCCCTCCAAAAGACAGATAAGTGAACAGACAGGACAAAAAGAAAAGAGAGCGAAAGTAGCAAAAAAGAAAACAACCTTGTGTTGTCATTTCCTAGAGTTGATTTTGATGGATATGATTTTGTAACAACCATTTTATTGTTATTATTAAGGAGTCTTACAGAGGGGTTATAATTCTGTAAGCCAGGTGATGAGTGGGCAGCGCCACCCTTTCCTTCATTCTCCTCCATTTTCTTCTGCTGTCCCTCCTCTCAAGTTCAATATTTTGCATAGTGTACATTGTATAATACAGTGGCCGCGCTTGCTCACCCTGCCTTCTTCAACTAGTGGGAGACGAGGGAGGAATCTCGGTCATTGGCACAATATGATATGTGTTCTTTCTTGGTGTTTCCACCCTTTCTCAATTGCATATTGGGGTCTTTGGTTCTGAAAGAGACGACATTGTCTTCTGCATATGCCATGGTCATCTCATGGACACAGCTTTGTTCATACTGCCCCTTCTACCTGAAACGCTTCTATTTCCTTCCCTTCTACTCACCACCTGTCAGGACTGGAGGCGGCTCTGTGTTTCCATGGAGGCATTTCTGCTCTCTCTTCCCGGGAAGTGGGCTTCCTTCTGGGCTGCCTAACTTGAATCTTGACCCTTGTCCTTTGGTTTTTATTTGGATTTGTCCCAGCTTGCAAAGCCAGGCTGCAGACAAATGGAAGTTAAGATCTATGCCACACATGGATTTTTGTCTCCATATAATCACACAGAGCACACGGGAAGGGAGGGAAGTGTGGTGGCAGAGAGATCCAGATTTGCATTCTAACCATTCATATATTCATTCATTCATTCAGCAACTATTTATAGAGCCCCTACTGTGATCCAGGACTTGAACCTGGAAACAAGGACATAATGACAAGTAAAGCAACATGACCTGAAAGCACATTATTTTGCATAAAAGGTAGATAATAGATGATGGATGGATGGGAAGACAGATGGAAAAGTGATAGATGGATGGATGAATAGATGACATAGGATTTATGGATAAATGGTGGATGGATGGATAGATAGATAAGATAAGATAAATATGGCCTCTGTTATTGTGAAACATAAAAAGGGAGGGAAGATAGACATTGATCCATGAACCAGATAATCTCACCAAAGAGGTGAATATGGCTACTACAACAAGGACAAAAAATAGAGGTCCAAAGCATAGGGTAGTTGACCCATTTGGATGGTAGGGTGGAGAGGGGGTCAAAAAGCATAATGAACCTCAGTTTCCTCACTTGGAAAATGGAGGCATCAGTTACCCAGCTCACTAGATTATTTAAAAAGGCTTAAATGAGATAACACTCACCATGCACATTGCTTTAAAGTGTCAGCAAATATTGTTATAACGAAGCCGGGCACTGGTGGCCCATGCCTGTAATCCTAGCCACTCAAGAGGCCAAGATCTGAGGACTAAAGTTGGAGGCCAGCCCATGTAAGAAACTCTTATGAGACTCTTTTCTCCACTTAACCATCCAAAAGCCAGAAGTGGAGCTGTGGCTCAATTGGTAGAGCACCAACCTTGAGTGAAAAATCTAAGGGACAGGGGCTGGGAAGGTTACTCAGTGGTAGAGTGCTTGCCTTGTATGCATGAGGCCTTGGGTTCAATTCCTCAGTACCACATAAGCAGAAAAAGCTGGAAATGGCGCTAGGGCTCAAGTGGTAGAGCGCTAGTCTTAAGCTGAAGAGCTGAGGGACAGTGCTCAGGCCCAGAGTTCAGGCCCATGACCAGCAAAAAAAAAAGAGGGGGGACAGCACTCAGGCCCTGTTCATAATTATAGTAATGAAGGAGATGTGTTGGCAGAGTACTGAAGGTAAGCAGTAGACCTAGAGAAACACTTCCTGAAAGGGGAGATTCCCAGACTCATTCTAGTCTTGTTACCCAGTCTCTATTCCAAACCTACTGGCCAGAATTTTCCAGTGAGAGGCATATATATATATATATATATATATATATATATATATATATATATATATACGTGTATATATATATACACATATATGTATATATATGATTTAAAAACACTTCTAAATGATAGATTTAGCCCATATCAAGCCACTGGAGGAATGTGAAGTTATAAAGAGAAGGAAAGTAACAATCCCCCTTTGCTTTCTTCCTTCTCTTTGCTCATGGAGGGCCCCAAGGGAGACCCCCCCCTTCCAGGTCAATGGTGTGGTGGGAATCTTTTCCAAACCTCAAAATCAAAGAAAGCAAACTCATGGTAAGGACTGGCATGAGGGATTTTTTTCCTTTTCTTTATAAAACTTTGTCATACGGAATGTCTTTCTGTGTGTGTTGTTTTTGTCTTGTCGAATATAGCACACCCACCCCAGCTTTATATATATAGATGCAGCCCGTGTGTGTGTGTGTGTGTGTGTGTGTGTGTGTGTGTGTGTGTGCTGGTCCTAGGGATTCTAGGGATTAAACTCAGGGCTTGAGTGCTGTCTTTGAGCTTCTTCCTTTTTTTTTTTTTTTTTTGCCAGTCATGGGGCTTGAACTCAGGGCCCAGGCACTGTCCCTGAGCTGCTTTTGCTCAAGGCTAGCACTCTACCACTTGAGCCACAGTGTCACTTCCAGCTTTTTCTATTTATGTGGTACTGAGAAAGTGAACCTTGCATGGTAGGCAAGCACTCTACCACTAAGCTACATTATCAGTCCCCTGAGCTTCTTTTGCTCAAAGTTATTGCTCTACCTTTGAGCCACACCTTCAATTTTGGCTTTTTGGTGGTTAACTGAAGAGTCTCACAGAGTTTCCTGCCAGGCTGGCTTTGAACTGAGATTCTCAGATCTCAGCCTCCTGAGTAGAATTACAGTGTCTGGCTCTTCTTTTTTAATTTGATGCCACGGGAGTTTGAACTCAGGACCTTTTGCCTGCCAGGCAGTCATGCTACCACTTGAGTCATATCCCCACCCCTTTTTGTATTCATTGTTTTTTTTTTTACATAGAGTCTCTCTCAAATTTATGCCCAGGTTGGCTCGGATTGTGATCTTCCTTTTTCTACTTCCTATGTTAGCAGAGAGAAAAAATACAGAGCACCATGTCCAGCTTTTACTGGTTGAGATGAAGTCCCATGAACTTCTTTATCTGGGTTGGCTCTGAAACATGATCCTTCTTCTCTTAGCCTCCTGAGTAGCAGCTAGAAGTACAGGTGTGTGCCCCTGAGTCAGAATAGTTTAGAATAGCATAGTCAAGACCCACGTTATTTCCTAGCCTTTTGGTGGGAGTCCAGGTTGTTTTCAGTTCTGCCAACAATAAAACTGACCTAACTAAAGTGTTTCTTATAATTTATAAGTGTCTAAAGAATAACCATGAAGGAGTCAAATTTCTCAAATATGTGTTTTTAATTCTAATGAATATTGGAAGACTTGCTCCCCGAATCTCCATCCGATCATGGATTCCTACACGAAGGAGGAAAGGCATGCATCTGGAAAAGCTTCTGAGGACTTTCAGATGTGCAGTGCAGAATTAGAACTCTCAGCCCAGAGCAGAAACAGAATGACCTCCAGGTGCCTGGGAAGGGTGGGGCTGAGGGAAACACCTAACAGCTATGGAGTGGAGTCCCCAGGAGAGTGAAGAAAGAATTATCCGTCTTCCTATCTCCCTGGAGCTGAGGCAAACCCCACTTCCTTTAGGCCACTTCCTCCATGGTATGTCTATAAAAATGCCGTTGCAAGATGGAGGAAGGGAGGATCGGAGCTTTAGAAGTTTCCGAAGACCTTCTGGGTAGGTGAGCTCTTTCGCTGATGGCTGCTGCTCTCTCTGGGGACGATTCAGTCTCTTGGGAGGCACCCAGCCTTGGCTGAGGGGTCTGGGGGACCTGCAGTGCTGTGTGTGACTTTCATGTTCAGGTGTGTTCCAGGAGATCAGGACTTCTTGTGTGTGTGTGTGTGTGTGTGTGTGAGAGAGAGAGAGAGAGAGAGAGAGAGAGACAGACAGACAGACAGACAGACAGACAGACAGACAGACAGACAGACAATGTTCTCCATTGCAGAACAAAGCCAAGATGAAACTCCTGCTTCTTGCTCTTCTGGTTGGAGCCGCGTCTGCTCTTCATCTGATGCGTAAGTCTCCTTTGCCTTTGGTCTTTCTCCATTGTTCCTTCCTACTCCCATTCTCTGATGCTTCCCTCACTTAGAATTTCTGTGTACTTGAGGAATCAGAACTCAGTAGCCACAAATGGAAAGAACGCTTTAGGACATCCATGATGTTCACACTCCAGGTTCTTCTGTGACGGTCTCAATTGTGTTCTTTCTATGTTATGACTAACATATTCCCCATAATGATCACTTCCTTTTACCTATGTGTCATCTCCTCTAGTTTTCCTCGAGCCTCCATGTAGTACTATATACCAGTTTTACAAAGAATGAGAGAAATTGACTGGATGGTTGGTGGAGCTCGGCGCAAGCCCACAGATGACCAACTCTAGTCTTCCCTCCTAACTGCCTAGACTTCATGGGGGACGTGGGTCTCCTTGTGGAGACTTGGTTCTAGATTCCTCTGCCTGAGTACTCTGGTAAGGCAGTGGGGGAGCAGTCGCTGTCCATGGTCCTGCAGAGACCAGGGGAAGACGTGAAGGAAGAACACTTGGTCTTTCTCCTTGCCAGGTGCTGATACTCCCAACTCTAAGAGTCCCTTGGAAGATAAGAGCCTGACTCGGGAGGAGGAGTGGCCCACTCAGGAAGTTAAAGATCTCCTTTCTGGGGAGCTGATGGAGCTGGAGGAGGCCGAGGGCTCTGGAAGTAAAGAGATCTCTGAGGAAGAAGGAGCTGTGCAGCCAGTCTCAGCCCTGGATATAGCAAACAGCAGCTTTCAGTGTCCTGCAAAAGAGGACACAGTGGAACTGCTGGGCATCCCTGGATGCAAAACTTGCCACTACATCCTGGTGACAGCAGCCGCAACTTTCAGTGAAGCTCGGGTGAGGGGTCCATGGCTGAGGCTGGGAGAAGGGCAGGGGGTGGGGCACATGGCTCTGAGCCTTCCTGTCACAGATCCTGCCCCTCTTTGGGGGCTCTAGGGGGTGTTCCAGAGCCAGAAAACTCCCTCAGAGACACTGAAAGAAGAGGGGAGGGCCAGGTGGAAAAGTTGCCTTTTGTTCTATCTAAATCGCTGTGCGAAGGCAGTAAGCAGAGGAACTTTGGGGGCTGAGAGACGGAAGACTTCCCTATAACTCTGAGGAACACCCCCTCCTTTCTCATCCATCCATCCCCTGCAGCATGTTTGCCAAAGGTGCTACCGGGGCAGCCTCGTCTCCATCCACAACTCCATCTCTAATTACCAAATCCAGTGCTTTGTCCAGAAGCTCAACCAGGGTCAAGTCTGGATTGGAGGCTGGATCTCTGGCTCGGTAAGGGAGATGGGGGGAGTACCACAGCCACTGCAACTTCCTCTAGACTTCCCTAATGCCCTGCTAAGTCTGGGGCTGGTTTGCTCACCACTGAAGTGGGAGTGGCTTGTGCCTCACCTCTTGCTGGGACATTAAAATGATCACATCATCAGGATCAACACCGAAGGTGAGGGTGATGGGTCAATAGTTTAGTTGACCAGGATTGGCGGTCAATGATCAAGGGCCCAATGGGCAGAAGGCAGAGCTAGCGAGGACTGTGCTGACAATGCCATTCTGCCTCCTCCTTAGACATCAGTTACCTCCCTCCCTCCCTCCTTCCCTCGCTCTCTCCCTTCCCTTCTCCTTCCTCTCTTCCCCAGGGTTACTGCAAGCGCTTTTACTGGGTTGACAACAGCTCTTGGAATTTTGCAAACTGGGCTAAGTGCCAGCCTTCGGCCCACGGGGGCAGCTGCGTGTCCATGTGTGTCCAAGGTACAGTGGGCTGGGAAGGAACACCAGGAGGTCTTGGAAAGGGGGGAGGGATGTCCCAAAGAGGAGGCTCCAGGAAGAAAGCTGGGGTCTCCAGGGGGCTACCTGGCATTGGTGGGAAAGGTCTTGGGGACTGAGTGGGGGTAGACAAGATGCCGAAGGGTCCTTGCTGTTCTATCTTCACAGGAGGCCGCTGGCGCACATCTCACTGTTGTAAAAGGCTCCCCTTTGTCTGTTCCCGTTGAGCACCCTAGACAGGAGTTCAAATCTACTGCACCGTGGACAACTGCCTCTCCCCTCCCACCACCTCCCTAACAATAAAATGGCTTCACTGAAACAGATGTATGCTCTCGTGTGATCCCTGGCCACTCTACTTCATCTCACTTTCTCCCAACCCTCGTGCCTTTCAAGCGGTTACCATTCTTCCAGGACGAGGCAGGGGTGGTGGCCCTGAGACCTGGTGACACAGGAAAGGGTGTAAGTGGCTCTTGTTATGGTACCCAGTCACTGGGAACTTGAGATTAGATATGGTAAGGAAGCAAATAAGCAATCACACATTCCAGACATTTAAGGTTCCCAACACTGTTGTCTCCAAGTCCTGCCCAAACTATGTGTGGCATGTTGTGCAAGGAAATTCACGTATCTCTTGAGCAGTGGATGGGAGGGAAAGCACTCTCTTCTTTCCCTTCAAGTGGAAAAAATTCATGGCACGTACTGGGCATTGCTTCTCACTCAGATGCTAAGGTGGCCTTAGAACCCATTTTAGTGCCAGCTACCTGTCCCGAGAGGAATTCTCTACTCTTCTCCCAATGTCTCCAAACACCCATGTCAACCCAAATCCTTGTCTTGGGTTCTACTTCTGGGACTCCTCATTCCTACAGGTCCCTTCGGCAGTGGTAGGGTCAAGAAGGGGGCAGGAAGGAGTTTCTGGCTTCCTGGTCATGTCCTGTATGTCTCTGGGTGTCTTTACTAGGTGCAGTTACTGTAGTTTCTCTGTGTACTCTATGCAAGTTTCAGGGGCCCTTGACGAGATGCAGATGATTTTCTTCAGTAAGATGTTTGCTTTTGAAAAAAAAAAAAAAAGACAATGGCTGGGCGTCAGTGGCTCATACCTGTAATGGATATTGGTAGAGCACTAGCCTTGAACACAAAAGCTCAGGGACAGCATCCAGGACCTGAGTTTAAGTACCAAGACCTGCAAGAACAAACAAACAAACAAAAATAATGAAATAAGGATACTGGTCCTATATTTCCAAATACAAAGTGGGCTGTGGGTTTTCTTTTTGCTATTTTTGTATTATCTTTAAATAGTTGTACAAAGGAGTTGCCAGTTTAACAAAGAAGTTTATGAATTCAATGTATCTTGATCAATGTCAACATTCTTCTCACCCATCCTTCCCCTACCGACCCCTTCTTAATTTTGTAGGATTATACATTGGATTCTTGACTCCATCTCTTCTTCTCTTCATTGGGGTATCACTTTCTCTTTGATTTCAACCCATCCCTTTGGAGTACTTGCTTCCTGGTGTTTTATTTTGCTGAACTTTGATTTCGCTTTTCTATTTGAGATCTCCCTTGAATCTATTATATTTCATCTAATACATTTTATACTGTTATAAGTAGGCTCTCCAAGAACCACTGGAGATAAAGAGTTGTATCAGCAAGGCAAGATTTACTTCCTCAGGAAGCTGTGCCAACAGCCAAAACCCTGGCCAGCAAGCACACGGAGCCGGCAGGCTGCTCCCCTATTTATCCCCAAGGAGGCAGGCCACGCCCCTCTGCTCAGATTGGTTGAGCTCAGGTTCATAATCCGCTTGCAATTGGCTAGTTTGAATAGGGTAAAATGTATCACATAAGGTGATCTTGGGTATATTTTGAGTTTACTAATAGTCTTATTCTAAATACGGGGGTTTGTATGTGAGTCCCTCAGCTCTAACAAGAAGGTAACTGGGCTTGGTGGAATGAACACATCTTTAGAATGGAATCCTTGGAGCAAAGCAGACACTCAGAGCTCAATCCTTCAGTTTCCACTGCCTCTGTGTCCCCAAGGTCCTGGTCTTAGTTCAGCTTTCCTGACAGGGATCACTTCCCCCCCACCTCTCAGAAGGTGACTGGTAAGGACCACCAACTCTGTGTACCAGATACTCTTCTGTGAGACCTAATTTAGCAAATCTCTTTAGAGGAAATTCCTGTCACTGTCTTGCTTACAGATAAAAATACTGAGATACAGATAGGCCATCTCTGGGCCATATTATTTTATATATCACATCAACACCCTCTTCAGATGATAAATCACACCCTTTGTGTAATGCAGAGGCTGAGTTTGAAATCCCTATGGAAAGAAATACAAACAGTAAGCCAGAGGTTTGGGAAGGTTGACTCCCTTGGCTGGGTTATTCGAGGGTTATATTTAGATGTACATTTAGATGTATCCAACAAGGATTTGAGAGTCAGACAAAGTGAGTGTGTCACTAGTGTTACTAGTTGTGTGAACTTGAATAAATTATTGGGCCTCCCCTGAGCTTTTGCAGTAAATATGCAGGCTGTAGACATCAATACCCAATTTGTAGGGTGATTTGTACAAATTAAGTACAGACGTAGTGGATATGTAAACCTTAATAAACGGTAGCATCTGATCTGGAATTGTCTTTCCAAAACACCACTTCTGGTTTTAAATCAGACAGGGATCATGGTGGCCACTGATACATCCACTGAAGTCATTAGAACAGCCTTCCCCAGGGTTTGTGAGTAAAGAAAGCAGAGTCATGGGCTGGGAAAGTGGCTTAGTGGTAGAGTGCTTGCCTAGCATGCATGAAGTCTTGGGTTCAGTTCCTGAGTACTACATACACAGAAAAAGCCAGAAGTGGCACTGTGGCTCAAGTGGTAGAGTGCTAGCCTTGAGCAAAAGCAGCCCAGGCTCTGAGTTCAAGCCCTAAAACTGTCAAAAAAGGAAAAGAAAAAAGAAAGCAGTGTCAAATGCAAGAGGGGGTATGGCCCTGGAGAAGAAGGGAGGTCCAGTCAGGAGGCTGGGGGAAGGAAGCTATGAAGTAGGTAAGGAGCTGGAAGATAATGGACTTCAGACTGATCTTTGACTTGCTGTGTCAAAGAAACCCATCAGGCACTCTGAAACTCTATAATAAAAGAACATGATCCAAAGTTTGTGGTGAGCTGAGCACTGGTGGCTCATGCCTGTAATCCTAGCTACTCAGGAGGCTGAGATCTAGGATGGTGGTTCAAAGCCAGCCTGGCCAAGGAAGTCCATGAGACTCTTATCTCCAATGAATCATCAGAAAACTGGAAGTGGTGCTGTGGCTCAAGTGGTAGAGCGCTAGCTTTGAGCTGAAGAGCACAAGGACAGTGCCCAAGGGTCTTAAAAAGTAGGAAAGCAACTGAGAGGTCACTCTGGGGCCTGATTGCTGAGTAATGGTCTCAGCTGCTTATCTCCCTGTCTAACGGACAGCTCTGTAAGGTCCGCTCCTGGATGGGTAGCAGACTCCACCCTCCTCGCAGCAAAGTCTCCCCCATTACCTGCGTTACCTAGGCAACTGGGACACCTGGAAGAGGTCACATCTGCATCCGCTGAGGTCACATCTGAATTTGATGTGGCCACACCTTTCCCCGCCCATACCGTACATAAGGCCTAGCCCAGGCCCAGACGCTCTCTTGCTCTTGTTTTCTAGCTCTCTTGCTCTTGCTCTTCTTTTCTAGCTCTCTCTGCTCTAGCTCTTTCCTCTCTCTTTCCCAGCCACGTGGAGTGCCAACCTTGCCTGGTCCCAGCAGGTCTTCTGAATACCTGAATACCACGTGAGTGCTACTGTTCTTACCCCTCTCTCTGCTCTTTCCTAGCTCTTTCCTCTCTTTCCCAGCTCTCTCTCATTGCCAGGCCTTTCAAAACCACGTGGAGTGCCAACCTTGCCTGGTCCCAGCAGGTTTACTGAATAAACCTACCCCTTACCTGAATACCACGTGCGTGCTGGTGCTGTTCTTACTCGGCTACCTCTTTTTAAAAACCTAACAAGCTCTACTTTATCTGTGGGAAGATTAGACAATTCCAGGCCCCCAAACCTGGTCTTTGAGTTTCAAGCTTTGGAGCTTCTCAGTGAGGAAGTGAAGAATAGAGCCCTCCTCCTCTACATTACTCCTTCATCCCGGGGCCCAGCCCACAGGCAACGTTCCCTTCGATGGCTGGGGTGAGCAATGAGGTTGGCTCTTCTTGTGAGTCAGTATCACCCACCACAAGCCTTCTTTCTTTTTCCTTTCCTTTCCTTTCCTTTCTTTTCCTTTTCTTCTTTTGTTCATCTTGGGTCTTGAACTCTGGACCTGAGCTGCTCCTGGAGGCTGCTCTTGAGCTAAAGGACGTTGTTCAGACTTGAGCACTCACAATAATTGAGTCTGGACATTGACAGGATATGAAATGGACATCTCAGACAAACCAGCACAGGTTGGGTCCCATTTAGGACAACAGGCCCCAGAAAGAAGGGGGCCCATAGTCCCAGCCTTAAGCTGGGTCCAGGGCTGAGAAAATGGGGCAAATTTGTTATTAGTTCAACACTACCCAATCCTGGTGTGGGGCAACAATCCGGGCCCCTTCTCACTTCCCCCCAAAAACTGGGTATAGGGGCTGATTGTGGAGCCCAGCAGTTAGAAGCACCGGAAGTAGAAAATCTCCCAGCTCTCTGAGGTGAGTGGTAGAAGAACCCTAAGTCTGAGTGAAGTAGGACTTGCTGGCCCACTGCCTTTCCTCTCTTCCCTGGTACAAATGAAGCCAGTCTGACTCTGAGTGGACTGTCTCTCCCTGCAGAGTCTGGATTTGGGCTGGGAAGAGTTACAGTTATATAGTTATAGATATATAGTTCTGTTTTTGTTATAGTTATATAGTTCTGGTTTTTTGTTTGTTTTTTGTGTTTTTTGGGGGGGGATCTGGTCGTGGGGCCTGAACTCTGGGCCTGAGCACTGTCCCTCAGCTCTTCAGTTCAAGGCTAGCACTCTACCACTTGAACCACAGCACCACTTCTGGCTTTTTTCTTTTTGCTTATGTGGTGCTGAGGAATCGAACCCAGGGCCTCAGGCATGCAAGGCAACCGCTCTACCACTGAGCCAACTTCCCAACCCTTGTTTTTGTTTTTTAACCTCGGTCACCCTCCCCTCTTTATTTTCCTCCAGATTCTCTAACAAAACAAATATCAGGAGCTGCGCCAGACACACAGGACAGCCGCAAGAAAGGTGCTACAAGATTGAAGGAGGAATGAAAGGCCTGCTGCTCCTGCCACTTCTTCTGGGGACAATGTCTTCTCTTCCTCTAGGTAAG